TTTCGTATCAAAGGTCTCGGGAGCCTTTTCCAAATTTGGCGTATTGTGAATACCTGATCCATGGTGGATTTGCCAGGCATAAAGCCACACTGATAAGGTCTAATCAGTTCGTTGACGGTGGCTTTCAGTCTCTCACACAATACACTCGATAAGACCTTGTAGTTAGCGGTAGTTGGCGTGGATGGCGGGGTCGCCTTTCTTGTGGATTGGGCAGAACACACTTAAATTCCAGTCGTCGGGCATGCGCTCATCTGATCATATTCTGCATAAGAGCTGATGCATGCACCTCATCAGCTCCTCGCCGTCGTACTTTAAATTCCCGTGGTTGGCCTCACAGGAGTTCGCACTGGTATTGAAACCTTCCGTAAGTCGCCTAACTCTAATAAATTTCTTGTCGGCCAGCTTTTCAAGCACTTCGCAGCCACCTATTTCGGCCTCTCTCCTCTTATTGCGGCAAATACGTATCGCTTCCTTCATCAGTGCCCTACAACGATCCCACATGACTCGCGTTGTGCCCGATAGCAGCGTGGCCCTATAGGCGGCGTCTTTTTTCTCTGTGCCTTCTTAACATTCCTCATCGTACCAGTTGTTCTTTCGAGCTCGCTGAAATTCAACTACTTCTTCGGCGGCGGTACTTAATGAGCCGGAAATGGGGTTCCACTGCTCGCGTATGTCGGATCTGTTGTGATTGCAAGTTTTCAAAGTTAAGCTTTCCTTGCATTGTTTGGCGCACAATATTTGCTGCACAGAGGCGGGTACGGATCTTGGCTGCAACAATATAGTGAACCGAGTTGCTGTTTGTACGTACGTCTAAAACGCTGGAAGCATGCCTTCCATCTATCACAACGTGTTCGATTTGGTTTCTCGTTTTTCGATCTGGAGACAGCCATGTAGCTTGGTGGAATTTCCTAAAATCAAGTTGGTTTGCAACAATGAGGTGTGAACATGGTATAAAAAAAGGCCAGTGTTGAGAAATACAACTTTTATAACTGGTTTAACAGTTTTCGAAAAGTCTGGTAAGACTCATGTGAATTCAACTGTCAAACTATAATTTGGTTGTCATCGTCCGCAATCTGCATTTCATCGTTTGTTGCTCGCAATTTAATTTTTGTGTTAAAAAGAATCCAATATGTATTCTCAACAGCCTTTCATTCAAACAGAATTGTGGAAACATGGTCCAATACCAGGCCAATTTTATAACTTTCCTGGAACTAACCAAAATACAAAAAATTTCGGAGGTTTCACAGGCGCCGAACAGTCTGGTGTGCAACATTCATCGTAAGTTTCCTCATACAGCTCAATAAATTTCAATTGTACTTATGTGCATATAATTCTTCAATTGTATGCAGATCCCCCATCACTACTGGTACTTCAGTGATTGGCATTAAGTTTGACGGAGGTGTAATGATTGCCGCCGACAACCTCATCTCATATGGCTCCTTAGCGCGCTATCAAGATGTACAACGTGTGTTCAAGATAAATGAAAAAACGATCATAGGTGCTGGCGGTGATTTCGCCGACTTCCAGAGTTTGAAGCGCAGCATCGATCAAAAGATGGTTGAAGACATGTGCTATCAGGATGACATTGATATGCAACCTAAATCATTGTACAATTGGTTAACACGCGTGCTATACAATCGCCGCAGTCGCGTTAATCCACTATGGCTAGAAATGGTTGTTGGTGGCATACAGGACGGTGCGCCCTTCTTGGGTCATGTAGATCTGCGCGGGCGCGCTTATGAAGATGATGTAGTGGCTACCGGCTTTGGCAAACATTTCGCACTACCATTAGTTCGTGAACAAATCTCAAATGGAGAGGTGCTAACCCAAGCGCAGGCCTCACAAGTGGTAAGAAGGGATTTGTAATTTTACAAAAAACTGGGAATATTTATATAAACCTCACTTTATAGTTACGCAAATGTATGGAAGTTTTATACTATCGTGATTGTCGTGCGATATCCAAATTTTCGGTAGCTGTTGCCACAGCCCAGGGTACGATTGTTCAAGGACCTTTTGACGTTAACCAAAATTGGGAGGTGGCTACTATGGTTAAGGGCTATTAAATACAAATCTGTAATTGTGTTTTAAATACAAGTTATAAACGAAATATATCTTAAGTATTTGGCTAAAATGGAAACGTCTTTTTGGACATTTACTGCACACAATATTGCTAAGAAAAGTACGAGTAATAATTTTGATTTTTAATAAAAGGTGTTTAAAAACAAAATTTCGCGGTTGCATTTTCTTTAAGACAATCCCGAATTAGGATTCGTCCGAACTAATTGTGTACACCTTCTTATAGACACCTCGTTTCTAACATCTTGTGCCTTTTCACCTTATTCAAAATATAAGTTGAACAATTTTTGTCTTTCGTTTAGCTTCGAAGCCATTAATAACTTCTATTTGCAAAACGTGGGACAAAAGTGTACACGGTTTACATAACAATTGAATAGCCTCTCTTTGGGCAGTAGACCCATATCATATGTAATGTATGTACTCAAAGATCTATGCAGTCTCAAACTGTATATAAGAAATTATATGTATGTATGTCTTTCTAATATCGCTAAAACCCTTTATTTTCACATAAGTGTATGTATGAATATTCGTAAGTATGCAGGCATATGGGCAGATTTGTTATCATTACTTGGAATACATAGATTTAGAAATATAAATTTTACAAAAAAAAAAAAACAACAACAAAAAAGGAAATTTTTCTAATCAAGTACTTCCCCGATATGAGATCGTCGCCACTGTACAAGATGTGGAATAGTTGCTGCTGGTCATGACATGTATGTATATAAATTTTCATGAGATATACCGATTACACTTGACATGTCTTAATTAAGATAAATTCAAAAATAATAATGTTGAATACGATTGATATTCAAATTTCAAAAATTTAGTTCAACATTGTGCGTCGGTCATAGATGTGACGACGTTGTTCGCGTACTTGGCGCTTCCACTTATCCGTCTGATGGCCAACACGATTCAATACATTGGCACGCGAGTTCAACTCTTGATTTGCCATGCCGGTTGGTAATGGTGGGGCAGTAGCACTTGCGTCGTCCTAGCAATTGTGAAAAGAAATAAGGACAACATGTTAGAGATTTAAAAATTGTAGAGCAGTTATTAGTGTGGTGTATTAGTGAAAATTCTTTAAGAGAATACTAAAAAAGGTAATCAAGTTTACAAAGCGAATAAACTTGTATATAAATGAAATAATTTGTAGTGAATGAGTGGATAGTTAGTGTGTTAGTAACCAAAAATTAACGATAATAACAAAAAGATGAACACCAGCACAATAATAACATGAAAACGAAAACTAAAACAAAATCAATCAGAGTCTTTATTGTCATCTACTAAGAGACTATATTGTATGTTGGCATATTTGATATCTACATCTTCGTTTGTGTGTTCCTGATAATTCGCCTTAACACGTTTGTTGAGTAAGGGATCCAAGCAAATTAGGAAGAGCATGTATATCACCAGAATTGATATAATCCAAATAACAATGATGACAACGACCTGTTATGAGTATTAGATTAAATGTATATCACCATAATCAATTCAGCTTTATCAAGTTAAAAGCAAGCTGTTTAATTGAGAAAATATATATGCTTATGCCTAAAGTAGTATGTTTATATCTATATTAAAATTTAAATCGCTTCCAAAAACGCTACTTACCTTTATAAGTGTGGTGTTGCGCGCTTCATGCTGGCATTTGCATTCTGGGCATATCTCCAGCACTTTACCATTTTCACTCAAGCGTGGAACCAAAGCTCCATCACAAACACTGAATGCGTCATAAATTAAATAAAAAGAATTGCCACTGGTACATAAATCATGACGCCTCTATTAGCTCCTACGTATGTACATACCATTTGGGCGTTGAGTTTGTTGGCTGCATCAACGGGTTTACTAAATGTGTTGCTGCCGTACTGCTCAAAATACCGTTACTTGGGATTACTGTGTTACTTCCAGCCGGACTCAATTTGGTAATATTACTTTGAGCTGGTGGTATGTCCGCTTTGGTCAACTGCAAACAAATACAGCTCTCAATTTTTATCACGTCTCCAAATGCCAATATTCGTACGCTTACCATTAAGTTAAATATTATACAAAATATACCTAATAACGTCACACTACCAGCCGCATGATACCGACGCGTCATTTTGTGTTGAGGAAACAATCAAAATTGCGTATATTTTCAAAAAACTATCGTCGAACTGAGAAATGAAAATCTTATCCAATTTTTTATCTTTTCTGGTTCGTCTCCTGTCAGTAGAGCTGTAAAACTATCGATGGTACTATCGATACTATCGAATGGTACTATTTTTTTTATCATTTTCTGCGCTATCGAATGGTCGTCGTGAAAAATTCTGTAAAACTAGGTTTGTATAGTAACCAATAGTCAGTACTAATTTGTACTGGAACCTGCAAATTTTTACTGGAAAAGTGTATGATAACCCAAAAAATTTGCAAGAGAGCGCTGAATCGAGAGCGTAACAACACGGGAGAGCTGCAAATTCTTGCTAGTGAAATTTCTACTAGCAGAAATTAGCTAGCAAAAGAAGAAGAAGAATAAGCGCCATTTGTTGAATTGGTTTAGCACAAACAAAAGTAAAATGAGTAGAAATCAAAATATTAATGATGTACTGGACTGTGTAAGTGCGTGTGTGTAAAGCAAAGCGTTTAAAAATGATTTATAAATAGTAAAATGTTTACAGCAGAATATCAAAACAGTGCAACAGCTGTTCACTTGCAAGTTTTTGCTAGTTTTGTGTTCATTAACTTTTTCTGCTAGTTTTCTGTTATTCTCAATTTTACGCTCTATTTTGCTTTTACGCTCTCGCTGCAATGTTTTACTGGAGAAGTTACTGTACAAACCTAATATTGAAGGAACTCTTAAAATTGGTATACGTACATACATATGTATGTATTTATGCTGATGCGCTTCAATTGATGCTAGTTTGTACCAAACATAGCATTCGCAACTCAAACGGTTAATTTGTTTGTTTACAGTTTTTTGACATTAGGTCCCTTCAATAACTTTTCCAGTAAGTACATGCAGCGAGAGCGTAAAAGAAAAATAGAGAGTAAAATTGAGAGCAAGAGAAAATTTTCAGAAAAAGTTATTGAACGCAAAACTAGTAAAAATTTGCAACTTAAACCATTTTGACACTTTGGATGGTTAAGTTTTGGCGCGCAATTTTCTTTTTAATTAGGAATAGTTCCCATCGTCATAAAAATAAAAAATATACAATAGGTTTAAATTTTTCATCCATATTTTCATTTCACTAATTATGTTTCATCAAATCATCCTCTTAAATAGTTTGTTTACATTTGAATTCGAAACATAACCTTATTTTTTGACTCCTGCAAATTCCTGCTGGTAAAATTTTTACTCGCAAGAATTTGCAGCTCTCTCGGGTAATTACGCTCTCGAATTCGCTCTCTCTTGCAAATATTTTGGGTTATTGAATGCATTTCCAGTAAAAACTTGCAAGTACTAGTAGCAATTCGTAACAATTTGTTGATATTGAATGGACCTATTATAACTAGCTACGAGAGAGTACGAGCTAATTGTCACTTCTACCTTAGTAAATATGCCTTGACTCAAGCTCTAATGAAAACTAATGAGTCAAACCACGCCAACTGTGTCAATGAATTTCCATTGATTTTCTGGAAAGTGAAGACAAGTGTGGGAATCTGTAGATAATTATAGAACAAAAATACACTTGGACGGTTTTTCGAAATTGCACTTCGCTTTTGTTTTTTTTTGGTATTATAACAATATTGCATTTTTGAGAGAAAAATTCGTAACTCGCGACCCATTTGATGAAATTTGATGAATTTAAAAAAAAAAAAAATTGCATGAAATTTCATTAAATGGGTCGCGAGTTACGAATTTTTCTCTCAAAAACTGCAATATTTTATAATACCAAAAAAACAAAAACGAAGTGCAATTCCGAAAAACCGTCCAAAGTATATTTTTGTTCTATAATTATCTACAGATTCCGACAATTGTCTTCACTTTCCAGAAAATCAATGGAAATTCATTGACACTGTTGGCGTGGTTTGACCCAATAACAATTTGTATTGATTTATTTCGTTTTTAAAAAAGCTCGTCGCGGAATTCGACATACATAATTTGTTTACATGAAAGTAGTGTAGTAGGCAACACTGTATTAATGTTTGTTCTTTTTATGTAGTACACACTATTCATTTGGATATAAGTATATATGCACATACATGCCTATATATGTGCATACATATTTCTATAAATAGCTAATAAGTCACCGTTAGGTTTCGAACGCTTGTTCTTCGCTTTATTGTACATACTTGTACATACATACATGCTTATATGTATACCATTCATTGTTACTATGTAAGTTTCTCTAGAATTCTGTCTCGCTTTTGTAAGTTTGTATACGTATGTATGTATATGCATACATACATACATAGATATATGCACATAAGTATCATAGCTTGTAAGCATCTTTGTACAGTGGTCGGTCGTCTTCAGTAGTTATTGAAATAGCTACTTGATCAATATACGCATACGCCGCTCGTTAAACTGTTATAATTTATTATACTCATTTGAGTGCTCATATTTGATAAAAACAAGTAAGAAAGTCTAAGTTCGGGCGGAGCCGAACATTAAATACCCGGCGCAAGTATTAAATATATGTTTTTCACCTTTCCGAAACCTACCGCTACATGGTAAGCTGGGGCGTATCAATTTTGAGTAAATTAGAGTCCTTAAATTTCGAAATTTTGAAGTTTCTAGCAGTTCTGAAATTTACCGTTATATGAAAACCGGCCTCAATTTTAGTCCGATCTCAATAATTTTCAACGCTTTGCTTCTATATTGCAAGCACAATAACCGTACCGTTTATACGTACAAATTGGTAGAACGGTTACCGAGATACATATGTATATGTGATCATAAGTCGGCGGTGCCACGCCCATTTTCCAAAATTTTATCACAAGCATATTTCTTGGTTAAGAATTGTTGTAAGCATGTAACTTGGAATAAATTAGCTTTAATATTTACTCATTCATCGAAGATTTTGTATTTCTCTAAATTACCGTTAAATGAGATGTGGGCGTGCTTATTGTCCGATTTTAAAAATTTTCGGCCATTTGGTATGATGTGCGAAGTTTGGAAGAAATTGGTAAAGCGGTTACCAAGATATACGCATGTAACCATAAGTGGGCGTGGCTACGCCCATTTTCCAAAAATTTATAATATTCTTATTTTTCGTCTAAAACTTATTGTAAATATCGATTTTGAGTGAATAATCTCCACTAAAATATCGCAGTTTTCGTATTTCTGAAACTTACCGTTATATGGGAAGTGGGCGTGGTTACAGTCCGATTTCGCCCATTTTCAATACAAACCTTCCTTTGGTAAATGGAAACCTACATACCAAATTTCGTTGAGATATCTCAATTTTTGCTCGAGTTATCGNGCGTACACGGACGGACGGACAGACGGACGGACAGACAGACATGGCTTAATCGATTTCTCTTTTCATTCTGATCATTTATGTATACATTTGTCTATGTTTATCTCGATTCGTTTTGGCTGTTACAAACAACCGTTATGTGAACAAAATTAATATACCCTTGTGCACAAATGCGCTCGGGTATAAAAATGTCAGCAAAATAATTCTCTGAAGTGAGAGTAAAAAGTGAGTAACACCAAAAAGGACGGGAACAAAAAAATAATTTTTCCTGTGAAAACGTCAACCAGTGATCGCTTGACACTTTTCCTGATTTTACCAGAAAAAAAAGTTCGGGTAAAATCTTGCAACTTCATTCTCTACACAATTCCAAAAATCGCTCTCATTTACAGGATTTTGGAGGAATTTGGAGTACGGGATAATTTTTCCTGTAACTTCCTGCAAGTTTGTGTAACAACCTGGAAATTCATGGAGTACTGGATCAGAGCTGTTATCTAATGTATGTCGTGGTTTTGAAATGCGGGCGACGGTTGCGGCAAACCAATTTCTATGAGACTTGGTTTCTTCAACTGTTGTCTCGTGTGTAGCCTGGACTATAACTTTGTAGCGGTGAAATATTGTATTGAAATAAAATTAGGAAACAATCGACTATATGCAAACATATTACGACCCTATCCCAGGTCAATGACAAAACTCATCGCATGACTATTGCTTTAACTACTGCGCCTAAAAATTTGACGCCGAATACATGCATTGTTCGTTGTTGTCACTTATTCAATAAGTCATGGTAATAACATAAACAATTGTCATACCTAAAGTCAAGTTTTTGCGGCATACTTTTGGGTGAAGTAGTTAAAGCCGTTAGCTTAGCCAAGCTTTAGAAAACGCCTTCAAAATTTCGTTTTTCTTTCCAGCTCACTCCCGAGGAAGAGGCACGCAATAAGATGTTGATGCGGGAACGAGATCGGGAGCGAAAGCGCATGAAGCGTCTAAATCCCGAGTATCGTCGCATGGAACAGGAACGGGATCGTGACCGGAAAAAGGCTCGTCGTGCCAATGAAGCTTTTCGTCAGCTGGAAAAGCTACGTGATAAAATACGTAAAGAACGCAAAAAGGGCATCATTACTGAAGAGTCGCTGCAAGCTGAATTTGCAAATATACCGCCAGTGCCTGTTGAACCGGAGGTGATCATATCAGATCCGGCGACTGACGATGGTGACGCTCCGTCACAAGCTAATAGTCGCCAGCGCGCCTTAGCCCCCATAGCTAGCCATAATTCAAGGCCTTCGTCAACGTCAAATAATTGCCATACCACTCCCACCACGGCAATGAGCACAGTGGCAGCGTCCAGTATCTCGGCAGCTAGTGTACACATTCACCAACAGGCCCATATGGCACAACTGAATAAAAGTATACTCTATCCACCACCGAATTTTGCTCATCATCCGCTTCCGATTGCCGGTGTAACACTAATGCCACAATTGTGCCATCCAATCTTACATCAGAACTTAACCGCTTCTTTGTATCCAACCAACGGCATTAAACAGGAATATCATGCAATCAAGCAGGAATATAATACGGAGGCAACCGCCTCATCTCATGTTATTGCGAGTGGTTCTCATGTGCCAGGCGCCTCGAGCTCGAGCAACGGCGATGAGCGTGAAATTGCAATAATTGAACCAGAAATCATTTTGCACACTTCAACCGATATTATTGCAGCACCACATCACTTCCAGAACGCGCATGCACACGCTCACCATTTACATCAGCAGCAGTGTGGCATGTTTCAACACATTGCGCCACAGGCGCACATGTCACAGATGCGCACACACCCGCCTTTACCACCGCCACCACCAGCCAGTCATGTCCAGCAGCAGCAGCAACAACAAATGCACCAACACTATGCGGCCAACAAAGGGCCTTAAACTATGTTCACATTACAGTATAAATTACTTAATGCATATTTACAATATAGAAATTTGCGGCTCGTTTGTAATTTATAAGCATATCATGTTGAAATCAAGTTATTTCGCTTTGTAAAATCTATTAGTAAATTAAATAGAGAGTTCATTTATCATAAATCAAGAACCTAATGAAGAAAACAATGGATTGCCATTTCTTTTAGCTGCCACTGTTGAGGAAATCAAGTACAAGCCGCACACTCGTACAAAGACATGCTAATCAAATGCATATAGAAATCATGAAAGCATTCAAAATAAATGTTTGCATACCTTTTCAGGTATTATTTTTATAAATTTCCTCAACAGTGGTAGCTAAAATAAATAACAATTCTTGTTTTTTTCATTTGATCCTTGATTTATGATAAATTATCTAATTTCTTTTTAATTTTCTGATAAATTTTATAATGCGAAAAAACTTGATTTCTGCTTGATTTGCTTATAAAATTACGATAATGTGGGCATACTTTTAATGATGAAAGTAACAACAACAAAAGCGAAGCGGTGTAACTTGAAGCTAAAAGCAAACAGTTTTTGAAATGCAATCTTTTTAAAAAGTAGATACATGGTTACCGGGACAGTCATCCTAGATACTTAAGAGCATTATTATTTTGGTAATTTTTGATTATTTTGTTTTTATGACATGATGTCCAAAACTTGACCGTTTTAGAGATATTCGATTTTAAGAATTATTTTAAAAATATGTTTTTTGTTTGTTCGTACGGCCACTTTTTTAAATGTAAAAGCAAGGGTTAAACAAACCCTTAAAATTCTCTAAGAAGGTTTCATGGATTCTTGATATATTGCCCAACTATTCATCATGAATGGCAGTTTTATCTGATAACGCCGTGAACGAAAATATCTGGCTGTGTGAGCCAGCCAGTTCTACTTAACCTACAACCGGGCCATACTATGGTGCCCCCACCAGGGTCGTGGGTGACTGCTATAGCTCGCCAGATATAACTATAGCCAGCGGGGATCTGATAAACTGCATGGGATGGCAACCAGTGCTTACGCTCGCATCAGACCACCTGCCCATAGTAGTCGCGATAGACCAGCCGACAGATTTTATAACATCCGAGAACCGTACTTTCATGAACACAAGGAAGGAAAACTGGGACGGTTACACGGAATTCACAGATCGCAAATTTAATGCTCTTCCACTACCATCATACGCGCGCGTAGCAGAGCCTAATATCCGTAGGATCATCAACGCAGCAGCCGCTCGCTTCATACCAGCCGGCCGGATCGCCAAAATCCAAGGCGTTAGGCCCAGACGGAATTTCCATGCAGATGCTGAAAAAGCTAGGACCTGCGGGAGTCGAGCACATGACCGCCGCTTTCAACTTGTCACTGTCCACCCTGATCATCCCCGAGATGTGGAAAATGGGTAGTATCATCCCCCTCCTTAAGCCACGGAAGAAAGCGGACGCAGGAGACTCCCTCCTAACCCCATTGGCAAAAACCATGGAAGCACTACTCCTCCCCAGCCTGACGAAGCATCTGAAGCTAGCCGATTCCGAAAAATGCACAGCACGACAACAGCATTAAACACCATTACCACACAGATTAGCGAGGGTCTGAACCAACGTCGACCCTGTGATAGTACGGTCCTAGTCGCAGTGAACCTGTCGACACGGTAAACCACGCGACCCTATGCCAAGGCGTCCTGGACTCGTCGCTTCCAGCTCGGACGAAACGGTGGATAACCAGCTATCTGTGTGGTCGTCAGTCATCAGTCGAATTCCGAAATGTCAGGTCCTAGCCGCGAAGAATTAAACAGGGGGTCCCTCAAGGCGGCGTACTCTCCCGACACTGTTTAATCTCTACATGGCAAAACTCCCTCCGTCGCCAGCAGGAGTTAACTTGGTAAGCTACGTTGACGACTGCACCATAATGGCAACTGGCCCAAACATCGACAGACTCAGCGATCAAATAACCGACTATCTCACCGATCTTTCCAACTTCTTCACTGCAAGAAGCCTCCAAATCTCCGCCGCAAAATCCACCGCCACACTATTTACAACCTGGACCAAGGAGGTAGGGCTAGAACTGGACGTCTTCGTCGATGGCGCCAAAATACCGACGACTAATTACCCTTATATCCTAGGAGTGAAGTGGCAAACACCTGCCCCGCATGTGGGAAAGGTCCCCATGACACCCAGCACTTCTTCACCTGCACCTACAACCCTACGACCCTGACACCAGAAGCGCTCTGGACCACGCCTATCGACGCTGCCCGCTTTCTCGGCCTCAGGCTTACAGAGTCGGAGGATGAAGACGACGATACATGACAGAACCTGGGGGGTTGAGCACTGCTGTTACAACAACAACAACCGAGGATTAAAACAGTTATGTATAAATCAATTTCAAAACACAAATTTTAATAAAACGGATTCCTTTTTAATACTACTTTTGTTTTTTATTAATGTCAAAAACAGTCAAAAGAAAAAAAATCCGAAATAAATGGGCGCGTTTCTAAGATGCAACTGTTTACCCCAACTGTAGCGGAAATGCTGTCAACTGTTGGGTCCAACAGTTACGGCTTAGAAACGGTATGATACATGAACTGCCCAACAAACAGCTGATATTTGTAAAATTAAATAAAAGAGCACCAAAATAAATTTTTACTAAGCCAAAAATATGAACATATGAACACTAAAGCATCCCAACTTATGCTACTATTCCATACGAACACTGGGACATATGTAACGGGTGATTTTTTTGAGGTTAGGATTTTCATGCATTAGTATTTGACAGATCACGTGGGATTTCAGACATGGTGTCAAAGAGAAAGATGCTCAGTATGCTTTGNGCATATGTACTTACATATGCTTATAAGTCCACGAATTTTCCATTTATTTTAAATATACACGTGTATTTTATTTTATTTATAGCCAGTTTCATTTTTTTTTTTAATTTATTATGAAAACTGACGGAAGGGAAATATAATTTTTCAGTTAAATTGTTGAGTTCATGTAGCGAAATAATTTTACGATGGAAAAAATGGCGTCGAATCAACAACCGTTCAGCTGAGCGGAACTACTCAACTGTGCGTTTCTAAATCAAGCGCTCATCAGTTTAACAACAGCTACGTCTTAGAAACGCGCCCTTTATTAAATTTACATCACAAACAATTTTGTGTTTCCGCTTATGCGTAATTTAAACTGTTTCAAACGTTATCGTAAGTACCAGATTTAATGAACACATTTACAAAACGTTGTGAGCAAAATTATGTATACATATAATCCTATCTGCCCAAAAACTCGTTCTTTTCAGAAAATAGAGACTTCTACAAAAAAATATTGCGTTTAGTTATATTTCTCTTAGCAAATCTAAACTTTAGTATTGTTGGTGCTAGCCAAAGCAGAGAAAAACACCCCTGTAAAATATGGTTTTTGTAACAACGATAATTTTCCGCAAAGGGGTTGATATTAGTCTTCAAAATAATTTACAGAATAGTTTCCATACGAATATATATTTTTAAATGATGTGAAGTAGGAAACAGTGAAAAGTCCTAAATTCAAAAGTTTATCAAGCAGCCATTTTTAACTGTCAGGGCTTGGTTCAACGTTTATTGATGTTTAAATAAAAGTGTACGTGCAATCAAATTTTTTTTTATGTTTTGGACATAGTGTATAGCTAAATTCATTAGAAATGGCCTGAATAATAATGTCCTTAAGTACCTAGTATATAATTAGTCTGTTCCTTTACTCGTCAGATTTACAGGATTTATTGAGAAGTCGCTACCGTACACACATTTACAACAGCGAGGGCGTAATCAGGAAAATGAATAATTGAATTAAAAACATAAAAATAAACAAACAAGTAGTTTCGAATGAAGAATAAATATTTTATATTCAGAATTACATGACTGAAGAATACAAACCTATTCTTTATGTGAAATTACTTGAATGTTGAATAAAAATTTATTTGTCATTTGAAATTTCATTATGATGAATAAAAAATTATTCGTCATTCGCAATTACTTGAATGAAGAATAAGTTTTTATTTTACTGGAATGGAAAAATGTATTCGTTATTTCAAATTTCATGATGAATGAAAATTTATTCGGCATTTGAAGTTACTGGAATGAAGAATACAAATTTATTCCTTATTGGAAATTTCATGATAATGAATAAAATTTATTCGTTATTTGAAATTACTTGAGTGAAGAATAAAAATTTAAACGTCATTCGTAATAAATAAGATAAAGTTTTTATTTGAATAATAATTCATTCAAAAAATTCCATCCCTGATTTAAAATATCTTCCGGACTAAATCAAACTTTTTCTGACTTAGGGCCGTTTTCTCAAGCAGGTTTTGAAATTTTCTGACCTTTAAACACAAATTTTGTTCTGAAAAAAAAAAAAATGTGTTTGAGGGACAAATAAATTTGAAAATCTACTGCCAAAAAGGTACTAAATGTTTTAAACCTGCCGGTAAAGGAACAGATTTTTTTTTTTTTTTGAAGTTACTGGAATGAAGAATACAAATTTATTCCTTATTGGAAATTTCATGATAATGAATAAAATTTATTCGTTATTTGAAATTACTTGAGTGAAGAATAAAAATTTAAACGTCATTCGTAATAAATAAGATAAAGTTTTTATTTGAATAATAATTCATTCAAAAAATTCCATCCCTGATTTAAAATATCTTCCGGACTAAATCAAACTTTTTCTGACTTAGGGCCGTTTTCTCAAGCAGGTTTTGAAATTTTCTGACCTTTAAACACAAATTTTGTTCTGAAAAAAAAAAAAATGTGTTTGAGGGACAAATAAATTTGAAAATCTACTGCCAAAAAGGTACTAAATGTTTTAAACCTGCCGGTAAAGGAACAGATTAATTTTTTTACTTGCAATTAGTACTAGGCATCTTGCATTTGTATAAATTGAAGTCGGCTATGCCGTCAAATGGACTTCGAAAGCGATATTTTAATTTACATACATTAATAAATCCATATTCACCCACATTTACACGCATATGTATTTGCCGCGAGTCTTAATTTCATTAAATGTTACTAAATAAAACAAATATCTATAAGGGAAAATTATTAAGAATAGTAGGGCTGTATAGGATCTTGTGCATATGCTCTTGCATATTCGGTGCATTTGTAAATTCACAACAAAAAAATGCGCACGGTTGCCATGGTAGCAGGCATAAAATTTACAAATGCAATTCCAACAGCAAATTCAAGACCATTTCCACAATATCCTGAACAGCCCTAATGTTAATGTAGAAGATACGAATAAGGCATGACCTTCACCCATCTGTTTAATGGATGAAACCTATTTTGTAAGAACTTTAACTTGTTAGGAAATATATCGCGAGTGGGTTGGCTGGAAAAATCCTGGCCAGGATATTTTTAATTAAATTATAAAAAAAAAAAGAAATAATATTTTTTTTTTTAATTTTGCACTCATTTGTTTAATGAACAAATTACATACATATATACTGATCGAAAGCGTAAAGCCTATAGAATATGCTAAACAGATGAGTGATAATTACTAGTATTACTTCCCTGTTCATACCTGCCAACCCGATAGATAGGCCAGGAAAAAAATAGACAAGCCCACTGTATCAAACCAAAATGCTGATTTGGTTTCTCTTCAGTGACCAGTAATCAAAAAATAAATGCACCGAAATCCAATTTTCTTTTGTCTCATACACTTTACATATTCAATATAAAAAGCAGAACGAGAAAACTTTGTGTATCTATAGTTGCGTTCCCCAACGTTTCTGGGTTATTCCTGTAAATTCTTGCAACTTCTTGCGGGTTAGGGAACGCAACTTATATCTAGAAAAATTTGTGTGTGTATCTCCCAATTCAAGAAGTAAGTGAAGTTGGTTGCGAATAAAAATAGAAATATATAAATGTCAGAAATGGCAAGCCACCACGGTTGATTTCAAATAGTATTATTAACATTCGGGGCCTCTTGAAAGCATCCGCTTTTAAATATCGATGAACAGTGGGCAAAGTTTGATAATGGGTATTTTTAGGGTCCCCCTAACTGTGTCTACAGACACCACTCGCACTAAACCATCGGATCCTGGATGCACTTCTGAGATCTTTTCAATGGACCATTGGGTTGGTGGTAGGTTGTCGTCCTTTATGATAACCACATCGTTCAACTCGAGATTCCTCAAACGTTGAGACCATTTGGGACGTTGTTGCAATTGTGTTATATATTCGATTGACGACCTTTTCCAAAAACGCTGTGTGAGCTTCTGAAGGTATTGCCAATGATTTACTGCGTTTTCCTTTAGGTTAAGGAGGTTTCTGGCACAGAAGTCATCGGACACAAAATCAGAAAATGTGCTTGAGACAAGGGATCGAGATCTCCTTCAAATTTGGTACATAGTGGACGTGAATTGAGACATCCTTCAATTTGACAGAGAATAGTGTGCAACTCCTCATATGTAACGTCCGCGTCAGCCAATGTTCGTTTTAAATGATACTTGACTGACTTCACGCCTGGCTCCCATATGTCGCCGAAATGGGGTCCTGAAGGTGGAGAGAAGTGCCACTGAATATCTTGCTCAGCAGAAGCTCTTGAAAGGCTTCCTGTGTCGTTGAATAATTTATGTATTGGTATAGTTCCCGCAAATGTTGATTGGCACCCACTAAATTGGTACCATTTTCCGAGAATATATGTAATGGTTTTCCGCGCCGCGCAGTGAATCTTCGTAGTGACGCAATGAAAGCCGCTGTAGACAATTCAGTCACCAACTCAATATGTATTGCTTTGGTGGTCAAGCAAATAAAAAGTACTATCCAGCATTTATACAGTTTAGAGCCACGTCCCTTCTAAGTAAGTTCTTGTTACCTGTATTGGCCCAGCAAAGTCGATCCCCGTGTTGAGGAAAGGCGATCCTGGGTCCAGCCGATATTTTGGTATGTCACCCATTTGTTGTTGTTTGGGTTGGAAATGCCGCGGTTTCGCATGCATACTGTACATTTAAATATGCACTGCTTGATAACATATGTGACTCCTGGAATCCAGTATTTAAGAGCCAAGAGATGGTGTAACTGCCTCTGTCCAGCATGCAAGTAACGTATGTGATAGTCATTTACAATTAGTTTAGTTAACGGGTGAGTTTTGTCCAATATGAATGGATGTTTCTGATTATAATTGATTTTTTCGTTGGTAACTCTGCCACCTTCTCGGAGTAGTCCTTGTTCGTCAATAAATGGAGAAAGTGGTGCCAACTTATGGGAAGATGGTAACTGCCTATCTTGACCGATAGTTCTTAACTCGAATGTGTAAGATACTGCTTGTGCTGACCTAACCAGGACATCATGTGCTCGCTGGTTGTAATGGATTGATTACACAGCGCTTTGCTGTTAATGCATTTAGCATTGCAGTTGTTGACAAATCGCAAAAGAAGTGATGTTATTCGCAGCAGTCGTGTAAAACAGGAGTAGCGCTCTAGCAACGAAACCTCAGTTGTTGTGCTTGCAAATGCAACCGTGCTTTTCCGTTCTTCCTGCGGTCTGTCATCTTCCAAAGGAGGCACTAAATTTCACGTACCTGGAATGTCTTTTAATTCGCCTGGAACATGCCACCAAATCTCGTTAGATAGAAGTTCTTGAGGACGCAATCCCCTTGTGGCAAGATCTGCAGGATTTTGCTGAGAAGGAATGTGTCTCCAACGCTCAGATGTGAAGCAAATAACTAAAGCCTTGGTAGTGTGATTTGTTTCACTGGAGCCACACGCGTGTTAGGAGCTATCAAGTTTGTTGATATTTGCCCATTTTCATATTGAACCCTAATGTATATAGTTGCCTGCGTATGCTAGCTCTGAAGAGTGCAAATCCATGTAGTTGTACGAGCTTCTCATTGGAGTAACATATCCACTTTGGAATGTGTGATTGCAATATGCGGTTGATGCTTTCTCGATACTCAACCCATTGAGTGTAAAGGTCTGGCGGTAATGCCTCGTTCCATCCTATTCCTCTCAACCACAGTTTTTGCGTAAATATCTTCATTGATATGACAACTAGCTAAATGCGATAAAACACTTCGTTTGGTTGTATGTTGGTTTGATGGCAAACAAACGCTGTGTTTAAAACTGCCGGTCGATGTATCCCATAAAAGTCCAAGTGTCTTTACTGTGCATGTAGAGTCTATAATGGTATCAGATTGGACCTCTCGGTCCTCACTTGGAATACTTTTCAAAAAAGTTGCTGAATTTGAAGACCACTTGCGCAGATGTAAACCAGCATCAGATAACACAGCGCAAATTTCTTCTTTAAGTTGAATTGCAGTAGCTTCATCGATAGCGCTTGCCATAAAATCTTCTACGTGCATTGCTGTGAAATTGCTTCAGCTGCTTGCGGATGTGCATTAGCGTTGTCATTGGCGGTTTGTTTCAAGGTTCTAGTTGCCAGGAACGGCGCGGCTAAAGCTCCATAGCTTACAGTCTTGAGGTTATACTCTTTTATGGGGTCATCGTTTGAACTCCGCTAAAGGATACGCTGCAGTGATTGGTCGTCAGGATCCACCAAGATCTGCCGATACATGTTCTCTATATCGCCAGAGAATCCCCACTTATTCTTGCAAAAATTTAATATAACGTCAAATAGATCTCTGAATTGTGGATCCTACTAGCAAATGGTCGCTGAGCGAGAGCCCATTGGTCGTCCTGCACGACCCATCGAAAACAACACCCAACTTAGTTGTTGTGCTGCTAGGCTTTAGCACTGCGTGATGCGGTAAAAAATACGTACGTTTTGGGTCGAAATTACCAGCCGGCTCCATGTGGCCCAAAGTAATATAATCGTTCATAAATTTTTGGTATTATTGCTTGAGCTGAGTAATATTATTAAAACATCGTTCCATAGCTAAAAAACGTTTTAGAGCGTTGTTACGTGATTCACCGAGTTGAATTGATTCGTTCTTCAATGGAAGTTTAACTACATACTTTCCACACTTGTCTCGCTTAACAAATTGGTAATAATGATATTCAGCTGCTAATTCATCATTGCATTGCCGATGGTGAGCCACTGGGGTGTGATATTATACTTGGTAATATGCAATCGGCTAGAACATATGCTCCGAGAATATGGTCAATGCGAATTGGCTTGTCAGCACGGGTCGGCCAATTCCAAATGCTTAAAAAACTCTGTGGTCTGGCTGGACACCTTATATGAAGGTAAGTTCCGTGTTAGATTTAATAAACACAGTCCCTCTGTTGTGATGGTCTAGCCTTGAGGTGCATGAGTGCTTATGTACACTTTTCCTTTTGAGCGACTTCCATCCGTTGATCCTACTCCATAGAGAATAGTGTTGTCGTATTTGGGTTTTAACTGAAGACATTGCACACATGCTGCAGAAATAAGTGTGCCTTGCGATCCTGAATCCAGCAAGGCGCGACATTGCTGTAGTGAACCAGTCGCATCGTGAACCATCACCAAGGCAGTTGAGAGCAACGTGAGGCAAGGCAAAATGGACTGCAAACTGTTTACACTAATGCTTGTAGTTTCTTCACATCGTATTGGTGGTTGAGATGCACTTCCCTGCAAGAACAGTGACTATCATTTGACAAATCATTTGACAAATCATTTGAGTAGCAAGACTGATAGAGATTTCTGCACCTACAAGTTTCTATCAAATTCTAAAGGGCAGTGTGAAAAATCTGATGGAAACTTTTGTGTACGTGTGATGCTTCATCTCCTTCTAACATATACGTTCTGGCATATTGCTAGACTGCTTACTCCCTTTGAGTTCGGCCTTCAAATTTTAATCATCAGTGATGTAAATCTTCGACAATTATGAGTGATCAACCTTGATAGAAATATAAGTCAGTTGATGTAATAACCGATCAATCATGACACATCAAATCTGTCATGTTTTCATATCATTGTTGATTACTCACAGTTGATGTAAAAATTCGTCTAGTCTGATCTCTATCCCACGATATAGAAATCTATCATTAATGACACATGTAATACTTGTTTTTTCTTTTATTTTCATAAAATCTTATGAACTAATTATTGATCGTCAAAAAATTAGAAGCTAAATACATTACCCTAAGCACAGTACATTAAACGTTAAGGAAATGTGGCCAAAAATTAAGCAAAATAAGGCGTTTCTATTATTTTTGCCACCAACGTACATATGTACATACTTAAATCTAATATCCTAATACATATTATACATTACACTAGCAGACCCGGCGAACTTCGTCCCGCCCAAAATTAGATTTTTAATTTAAACATTTTGGTACAACAGTTTCTCCAACAATCCACATTTACGATTTGTACTGCACATTCGTCGGCTAAGACTATCGTTTGGTGGTCGTTTGCCGCCTTAAATAACCGAACGAAAGTGTTATGTCCATGAGAAGATCCCTGGTGGGCACAATGAGCCGGATCTATAGTGAATGTGCCCTAGGAACTTTATCTTATAGTTAGTGGCAATTTCAATATCAATGCGTATCCTTGTTCAACAGAAATATAATATACATACATAAACTGAGACGAAATACCTTAAAAGCCAGTTTCGCGAAAGTAATTTAAGTGAAGAATTATGTTTTTCTGTCAGGTTCTATATTAAATTCAACTAAATAAATAAATTTTCATTAAATTGCTTTCATGAAACTGGCTTTTAAGGTATTTCGACAGGTGGTGATTTGAGATTTACCACTGCACAACTAAACACTGGTTTCTTCGAATGAGGCTCTAACGCATAATAATATTGGCAAATCACATCCATTGGGTCAATCGTAACACACGAGAGTTCAATATACTCAATAGTGCAACGGGTCGATTTAGTCTGACATTCACGGCACCTTTTTTTTCACTTTTTAGATTTTTAGTAGTAACTCGACCTCAGCACCGTTTCTAATACATGTTTTGAATGTTCGCCAAATCGATCATAAAAAAATTTTTAGTACTAACTCAACTCCAGCGCCAACTGGCGGATTACTTTTCCACGCCCCCTTTTTAAAGAGCCGTTTTTTCTCAATGAGCATGTGATTAATTTCATATATCTCCACACGAAGTGTTTCAGTACTGTACCACGAAAACTTCCAGAGATATGCAGTATGAAATTCGGCTTGTGTGGTAGGTGCCACGACCCCTTTTCCAATAGCTCCATATTTTCTACATGACTATGCGATTAATTTCATATATCACCACACCACGTCCAGTACTCTACCAAGAACAATTATAGAGATATGCAATAAGAAAAATTCGACTTGTATGGGAGGTGCCATGCCCATATAAAGTTCCAGTACTCTACCATGAACATTTCTAGAGGTACTTCCCACTGGGAAAATAGGTAAGCACCTTCCGAGGTAAGCCATGTTTTCTTTCAGTTTTTAGTACCAAAATTGTCATCATGGCTAATGTCATCTACTAGTAACCACGCCCCCATTTCAAATAGTCCGAATTTCTCTCCATGAGTATGCGATTGATTTCATATATCTCCATACCATGTTCGAGTACTCTACCATGAACACTTTCAGAGATATGCAGCATGAAAAATTCGGTTTTATGGAAAGTGCCACGCCTCCTTTTCCAATAACCACAATTTTTTTTCATGAGCATGCGATTGGATTGATATATCTGCATACCAAGTTAGAGTACTCTACCATGAACACTTCCAGAGATATGCGGTATGAAAAATTCGGTTTCTATGGGAGGTGCCACGCCCCCTATTCCAATAACTACAATTTTTCTCCATGGGTATGCGATTGGTTTGATATATCTCCATACCAAGTTAGAGTACTCTACCATGAACACTTCCAGAGATATGCAGTATGAAAAATTTGGTTTCTATGGGAGGTGCCACGCCCCCTTTTCCAATAACCACAATTTTTCTCCATGAGTATGCCATTGGTTTGATATATCTGCATACCAAGTTAGAGTACTCTACCATGAACACTTCCAGAGATATGCGGTATGAAAAATACGGTTTGTATGGGAGGTGCCACGCCCCTTTTCCAATAACCACAATTGTTCTCCATGAGTATGCGATTGGTTTGATATATCTCCATACCAAGTTAGAGTACTCTACCATGAACACTTCCAGAGATATGCAGTATGAAAAATTCGGTTTGTATGGGAGGTGCCACGCCCCCTTTTCCAATAACCACAATTTTTCTCCATGAGTATGCGATTGGTTTGATATATCTCTGTACCAAGTTAGAGTACTCTACCTTGAATACTTCCAGAGATATGCAGTATAAAAAATCGGTTTGTATGGGAGGTGCCACGCCCCCTCTTCCAATAACCACAATTTTTCTGTATGAGTATGCGATTGGTTTGTATATCTCCATGCCAAGTTAGAGTACTCTACCATGAACACTTCCAGAGATATGCAGTATGAAAAAATTGGTTTGAAGGGGAGGTGCCACGCCCCCTTTTGCCAATAACCACAATTTTTCTCCATGAGTATGCGATTGGTTTGATATATCTCCATACCAAGTTAGAGTACTCTACCATGAACACTTCCAGAGATATGCAGTATGAAATATTCGGTTTGTATGGGAGGCCACGCCCCCTGCACCTAGCGGTATGAAATATACTTTACATCCGATTCTCATACCTACCAAATATACACAAAAAATTTCATAAAGATCGGTCCAGCCGTTTCGGAGGAGTTCGACCACTAACACCGTGACACGAGATTTTTATATATTAGATTGAGCTCAATTGCCTTCCTGATTTCTTTTCGAACTCAAAAGGACCTTTCTTTTTAAATGCATCTAAGTGGATTGAAATAGATTATCAAAAAATGCGTATTGTTAAAAGATATGTACATATGTATACGGTAGTGGCCACATAATTTGGGATACTATATATTTATACGTTTTGACCATTTATTTAAGAACTTGCGTCGATTTTTGAGAATTTTTGACAAAGTATGTTAAAAAGGTTTATATATAGGTATATAGTTATAAATAAATAACGAAAAAATAAATGGTCAGAACTTGTTGTGTCCCTAATATGTGTACATACTACCCCGTAGGATTGTGTCAACCAGTATAAGTTTGTTTAGTGGTTTTCTCTCCCATCTGCCGTCACAGTTAAGCTGCAGCAATGCCTCGTCCGAAAATGAATGTTTAATACCGCTGGCTACGTCCTCAGACACACCTTTTATTTTTGATATATGTAATTGACCTTTGAAAAATTTATGTACAGCAATTAGAACGTGAAATATGTATTCCATAATATAATTCATTATCATGGCTTGTGCATACTCTGGATCTTTTAATTTTGTTTCTATTAAATCCACAGCGCAATAGGACTGCAGTGGTAGAGAACTGGCGATGCGAGGTAATTTTTTAATATTGGATTCGTAAATCCGCTTTTCTTGCTCATGGCGGTATTAAAAGCTCTTTTATTCATTTTAAATGAAATATTTTATAAAACTTATCTTTATTTTTCCACAGCACTTTAAATTTTGAGCATCTTTTCGTTTTGCGTCTTTCTTTTTTCTGTTGATGTGCGCATTTGAACTTCTTCAGTACCAGGTACTATATAATACGGTTTTATTTATTACGTTTATATATAAAAAGAATGTCATACCACAATGAAAACTTTTATTTTTACTTACTTTTGCTATGAGCGGGGTCGAATAATGATAAAATTAAAATTTAACTAATTAAGTTCAAAATTATATCCAAATACTTCAGTACTCGACATTATTTGGCAGGTACAACTACTTTTGTTGAGCACAAAATGCAGCCCTAGTGAATCTTGTGGTTACTATGGCAACCAACTACCGTTACTTCTATCAGCATTGACACTCACTTGATCGATCAAATGACAGTCATTCCCTACAGAGCCAAACTGGCATATAAAATTTTGCATATGTGTTAGTTTTCGTTGTGAATGTGTTGGAGTTTCTGTCAATCGCGTCTTGTAGGGTTGTTTCTTGCTTCTCTGTCGACGACGGATCTGAGTGCAGAAGCGTGTTGTGCTTACCCTTGCATTTACGACAGAATGATCGTTTGCAATTGACAGACAGATGATTTGGTTGCAAACAATTAAAACACATGTTGCCTTGCTGAACAATCTTGCGCCTTGCTTCCACGTTGAGTTCCTTAAATTTACTTCAGTTGTATAGCTGATGATTCGAAGAACAAACAGGGCTTGCTTGCATAACAGTAGTAAAGGTGCGTGATTGATTTTGCTTATTGTGACTCTGATGTTATTGGTGGTTTGTACCCTAACGCTACGCGCACACAGCCGGCATTGGCCGAATTGAGCTCAGCCGATATCGGCTATATGCGGGCGATATGAATAAACCCTTCTGATTATATGAGCGCCCTCACACATAAACCGATAACCGAACCGACATCGGCCGTTAACGTCCGTCAGTAACGACAAATTCAAACATGTTTGTTTTTCTCGTCCAATGTCAGGTAAAAAGTACCAAAATGGACTGCGAAAAATTAACTTATTGGGTGCAAAACAAAAAAATTACCTATATAATCACATGTTTAGAGTACGTCAATTAATCGGTCGGCCTATCGGGTGCAATGTGCGCCTAGCGTTAGATGTATTCTCGAGTTCAAATACACGCTTTTCCAGAAAGTTTAAAAAATGTTGAGTTGTCGTTACGTCCGAATTTCTATCT